AGTTTCCCTAGGTTCCCTAGTTTCCCTTGATCCCCTTTTACCTACTCTCTTTTGGTGGGTACACCATGATTTCAGCCTTGTGCCCTTGCTCATCAGATGCTCTTGCTTTAATCTTTCACATTTCCATACCAAGGTTCATCCACTCTGTTTTAGATGTTTTTTTTTTTTCAGATCTTATCTTTAAAAGAAAATTTAATCCAATATAGAGAAGCATATCATTTGCTTCTAGTGACTTCAGCTATTTTGATTAAATTTTTTTTCGTTTTACACTTTAGAATATGTAGGCAAGGTACATTTTGGAGTAAATGCAGTTGCCTTTACACTTAAATCTCCAAACAAGGTTGAAGGACACTTGTCACATTTCACCCAGTGAAAGGAGATGCAAGTGAAAAATTTTTGAGAAATATTTGTATTTTTATGTATCCAAGTATGATGTTTGCTTTGATTACAACAGCAGGATATTATTGATTCGCATTCCCTTTGTGAGCCTCTATATCTACAAAATACCTTTTGGAGAGATTGCTGCCTATCAGTCATTTCCCCGCTTGGTTTTGTGCAACGGCTGTGCCTGCTCTTGCGCTTTGTGCCTGCGCTTGCGGATTCACGTCCTGTTCACTTTTTTCAATTTATCAAGAGAATTTTGAATCCTAATACTGCCCTCCAGAGTACTTGCAGCTTCTCAGAGTTCTGTAACATTTTACGTTTTAATAAGTATACTCTGTCCATTGCAGGGATAGCTCTGATTATAACTCGAGAGCTGCTGCGCTTCACATCCGAAGAGGGAACGGGCAGCTGGAGCGTGCGGGCGGTCGCCCGGGCTGTAGCCGCAGCGAGCATCCCCTGCAACGTGGGCGCTGCACCGTCGTGCCGACGTCCCCGCTGCTTTGACAGGAGCTGGTTCAGGCCGAAAGGAATTGGATTAACTCGGAAGTGAAAATAAGTTGAACTGGGATTCAGTTTTCCTGGCATAGGTGGAAAGCCAACATTGCTGAAGGGTAGGAAATAGAGATGAAAAAGCACATGGAAAAGCACATTTACTGACAAATCTTATTTTTATTTTACTTTCTAGAGTTCTGATCCTTATGTATATAAGTGAGAGCAACTGCTAAGCCTGCATGCTGATTGAGCTGCCATCTGACAAGGACTGCCTTTACATAGAAGCTTAAATTATCTTTCTCACTATAAGTTCAGATTTGTTCTTTTGGTGGAATCCATTACAAAGAAAGGGAGTAGAATCATCATTCAGATTATAATGTGGGGTTTAACAAGCTTCTGATTTTTTATTCAGTAAATATTTTTCTTCCTGGGAGACTTTACCTCTGAAAAGTCCTGGTTTTTCAAAGGAACAAGATGTTTGAAAACAGAAATTGCATTTTGAATCTCTTCTGCTTTTGAGTCTGGGTTAGACTGAAGTCTGGCCTGATGCTTGTTTTTTCATGTGCTTTTTTGGCATAAAATAATCTGCCATATTCTGAAATCCCTGCTAACCCACCCGGACCAGCTAGGGGAATTGGGGTAACCCCAATGGCTCAGGCTGGCCCCTGAGCTCCCCACTTTCATAAGCTCCATTCATGCTCTTCCATGAGAAGTTGCTGTAAGCTTTATTTTTTAAAATTTTTTATTTATTTATTTATTTATTATTAATGGTTTTCTTATTTTTTTTTAAATTATCAATTCGATATCACAGATTTTCAAATCTTTTGCCTAAAAATTAGTAGGTTTTCCTGCAAAGCCTTTCCAGGCACACGTAGTGCTCTCAATAAGTAGGACGGACTCGTGAAGGTGCGAGCAGGAGGGACGAGGCTGGGGGATGCTTCCAGCACTGCTGATGGGTCCTGGTGCCGAGAATGCATGAAGTGCCTGGTCTGGCAGACGCTCTCCCTGCTGCTTTCACAAGGTGATGATAACAGCGAAAGCTTGTCCTCTCTCCTAGTTAGCTTGTGCTCTGCATGGTCCTGCACATCAGACTTAGGTGCTGAATCCAGATAGCTGATGCCGCTAAGACTTTCTTTAGCTTTAAATCGTTTGCACTTTGCAAATTCTAACCGTGAATTTTAAATTGCACTTGTAATTTGCTCCCGTTCCCACTGGTGGAACCTCTATGCATTTCCATGGCCCTGCAAAACAGTTCCCGTGGGTACGTTTTCTGTGGGCATAAGGAGGAAAGGAGTTTCTGGTGGGTCACAGCCCAGGGTCGCCTCCATTTGCGGCCAGTTTCCTTCATTCAGTCTCTGGTCTGATCACAAACTGCTTCAGGTCTCAGCACAGGAGGGGAGGGGAAAGGGGCTTGGTTGGCACGTTGTCGTCCCCAGAGGGTCTGTACTCAGACCCAGGCGGTCTCAGCTCACCAGGCGGTAACCTGTGGCTCAGGTCTCACTTGCAATGGTAAGCTAAGGGGTTACAATCCCTTAAAGGCCAGGAGAGGAATGGCAGGTACAAGGTGGTGCAGCCTTGCTCCGTCCTCCTACGGTCACAGCACAGGTCTTCTGCTGGTGAGTCATCTGCACTGTGGTCTTCTTGGCACGGGTGCCACCTGCCTTGGTGTAAACGCTTTCCTCAGCGTTCACCAGTTTTGCTGCTGTCACTTGCGTCCTTGGTCATCAGTACATGCCATTTTTGCAATCTTGGCTTCTAGTGCTTTGGTACGCAGCCATTTCCACGTGTGCTTCATCCACAGCACTCCTGCTGTCGCAGTGATGGGTCTCTGTGCGGCTCTGTTGTGCTAAGCTCCACCACGCTGGGTCTGTTCAACGTCCAAGGATGACTGCGTTTGCATGGGAATATTGCCATCACCCCAAATATGTAGCTCCTCAGCTGCCGTAGCTGTAACAGCCCTGGCTTGGTAACCGAGGTGAGGTGGGTTTGCAGCTTTTACCCAATGACCGTGAAATATGACTGAACATAACTGAAGAAGCTGGCTTTTATCAGCTTATTGCTTGCCATGTCACTAGTGGCTTTCCTGCTTTCCCCCAGCACCAGAGCCTCATCAGGAAGAGACGAATCATTGCTTTCCTTTAACGTATTCCAGGATATGGAGCGACCCAGGTTTTTTTCCTCGCAAGCTATGGATGCAAAGCCATGGCAGGCTGGGAATCTTTTCGTATTTTTTTGCGTACTCAGGCTTAACAAAGTTGTAACTAACTGAATTCAGGGTGAAGCTGGATGATGCTGTCGTGTCCTTCGCGTTACCCGTGTACGCAAGTGATTTCCTTCTTTTACCATTTCTTCTGAAAGGGGATGTTACTGAATCATAGCAGTTGCTTCAGGGCAACCTGGAGGTTTTGCTTATAGCAGGGATTAATTTGTGGCTTGGGAGCCTGCAGCACCATGAGGGACAGGGATCGGAGGTGATGCTGGCTGATGGATGTATCTTCTTGAGGCCGCTTGGCTAGGCCAGCACCCCACGGCAGGCAGGTTTCCTCGATGGTGGCTGGATGTGCTGGCACAGAGGTAAGTGGGGAGGACACAGGAGGGGTTTGGGGGGCTTGGCGGTAGCTGTGGATACAGCTGTGGTTAGAGGAGGTAGAGGAGGTGCACAGGCAACCCTGTTTGCACAATATACTGGCCTGGTTTTTGCAGCTTCTCAATTACAGATGTTCTGAGGACGCCTTTGGTGTGACATTGGCAGTGGGCTGGTAATATGCTCAGAGATGACACAAATTATTTGTATTATCTCCATTATTTATTATGAGCTCCCTTTGTGTATTTAAAATTAAAATTGGACAAAATCTTATACTTGATATAACCTTCCATTAATGGGCCTCACCAGTGACTGCGCTCACGGTGTTGATAATGTATCTCACAAAAAGGGCCTCCTGTTTCCCCCACTGCCTTCTATGTATCTGCCTTATCTCTGCAGATGAGAGCTGTACGAAGTCAGCTGCTGTCTTACTGCACAGCAGCCTGCTCACGATGCTGGAGCAGCAGTCGATGTCACTGCGATGCTAATTGCAACAGCAGCTTTTGGGATTTCCCAGTTTGACACTTTCTACCCCAATAATAACTCCTGCAGAGGCAGAGGACAGCTCACTAGTGTCTTCCAGTGTAGCTCGAGCACACAACTCTCATAAATTTATCATCTTAGGAAAAAAAAAAAAACCACAAAAAAAACCCCACCCTTTCTAAATATCAGAACTCCTCCCTTGCAGTTTTAAGTGAAGATTGTGCATTGGATCCCTGTTAAGGGGTTGCCCATGGAAGATGCTGCGTTGGCTGCGGCCATGAGCAGGGGCCTGGCTGGACACCCTCAGGGTTGTCTCTTGCTGCTCATGGATTTCCTCTCCATTTCCCATTTCTAACGGGATTTTATGCTGTATTTGTGACGAATCGGGCAAGCATCAGCAATAAAAAACGATGCAGCTGCTGTTACAGGAATAATTATTGGTTTATTAACACAAATTGCATTAATATTTTTAATTAATTTAATTAACATTAATTAATATTTTGCCATCTAGGCAGAATTTCAGAGTCCAAACAGGAATCAGTGCTTTCAGCAAAACAGAATGACACATTGAGTGCGAGAAGAGAGACAGAGGTCTGCCGCAGGCTGTCCCTGCTGCAGGAGGAGAGGGCTGACCTCTAGGCACTGAGGAAGGTGCTGATGATGGAGCAGGGCTGGGAATGGTCATGGATTTGTCCAGGACATGAGGGAGAAGGCAGGATTTGGTGAGGGAGAAGCTGGTGGGACCTGCAGATGTTCCCAGGCCCCTTGCGGTGGGAGGACAACCCTCACGGCAGCTTCGGCTGGGCTCTGTGGTGGGGTGATGGCAGAGTCAGCAAAGAGGCATGGCCATGCCTGGCTGCTCTGAGTCCTAGGCTACCTGGACCCAGGTAGCTTTTTGAAAAGCCTTTTTCAAAAAAGGGCTTTCCACTGATGGAATAAGCATATAAATCAGGAATCCTTACTTCCAAATCCTGCCCTGCACCTTTCGCCCCAGAGAAACATTGTCCCGTCACCTGCTTGGTCCCTCCCTCTGGCAAAAGCAGGACGTTTTCCAGCATCAGTGGATTTTCTTTAGATTCAGGTGAATCCCGTTCTTGGAGCGAAGAATGATCTGAGGTATTTTGCAGGGAGGCTTGGTGGGATCAGGTGAGAGCTCAAAGCGGAGCAGGGTCAGGGCCAAGGCCACCTTCATCTCGTTCATGGCGAACTGCTGCCCGATGCAGTTCCTGGGGTAAAACACAGCAGCTCAGCCACCCCGTCTCAGTGCTGGGCGCAGATAAGCCGCCGCAGCTGGATCCCAGCCCTCTCACACCAGCAGACAACCCTCCCCTCTGCAGCTCTGGGGGCCCCAGGCAGTGTTTTGGGTGGCAAAAGCAGGGGCATGGGCTGAGCAGGGGAAATCCGGAGCAGCGTCGGCGGAGAGGGGCTCCTGGATGTGTGTTCCACGAGCACAGAGAGGGAGGGGAGATGGGGAAGCCAAAGAAGAGCCCAGCAGAGCCGTGGTGGTGGGTATCCTAGCAGGAGGGTCTGCAATGCACGTGCCTTGTTGGGGGGAGCACAGGGCGAAGGGAAGGATTGGGAGGAGGTGACAAGGGGGAATCAAAGGATGAGGGAGTGGGATGGGGTCTTTGCATCAAGGAGAAGAGGCAAGCAGGTGAGCCCAGCATGCTGGAGGCTCCAGATGCCAGCAGGATGCTCAGCAGCTTTGGTATCCCGTTCCCCACCCCCAAGAGGGGTCTGGCAATGTTTCCTTCCCGTTTTGCCTGCTGGTGTCAGAACCCCTCTGTGGCACAAACACTTGTTATATGCTCGTGAACCATTCAAGGCTGCAGGGGCAGGATTTCAGGCAGCAGCCTCTGAAAGCGCTCTGCGAGTGCTTCCCCGATAGCAATTATAACAGCAGCACACACTTCTCGGGCTGAGCAGTTTCCAGGGATGCATGTTTTCTCTCCCCACTACTCCTTCAGCATTCAATACACTTTACCTCATTCCAGCAGAAAAAGGCAGAAAGGCATGAGAGTGTCTGCCAGAGATGTTCTCCGGGGAAAACCGCAACGGGTCAAACACCTGGAAATGAAGAATACGCAGCAAGAAAAAGCAATTATTTAAGGAACACAGTACTGACCGGTATCTTCAGAAACGTGACACCCCATAATTCCTGAACAACCCCACTGGAGAGAGAATTCATTTTGAGGTGGACAGCAACTCATACACCGGGCTCCCTTGCCTTCCACTGAGCCTTGCAATGGTGTTGCCAAGACAAACCAGACATAGGTATGATGAAACCTGTGGAGCCAGTGTTCGATTCTCCACCTGTAGGCTGAACAAAAAATCATCCTTTTGCCTGTTAATACCACAGGCTCTTTGGAGCACTTCGTCTTACTGTTTGGGCAGCACCCAGCCCTAATGCTGCTGTCTGACCACCCTGTGCCGCAGCTGGCCAAGACTAATGCAAGGTGGTCATGGCCCAGGGTGATTCCCATGGCCAGATATGCTCAGCAGCAAGGTGGGGCTCTGTTCTCCCTCTAACAGATGAAGAGGGCATTCGAACAGGCACAGCATAAAAGGGAAAAATTATTAGAAGGGCAAAAGAAAACTTACCAAAGGGTCTTTCCATACCGCAGGGTTTCTGTGAATGAGATAAATGCTTATAGCAGCGATGCTCCCTGTAAAGCAATCGAGAAGGAGAAAAGGGCTCAGTGACAAAGAAACTAAAGGAGCAGTTGCAGCCTGCTCACACAAAGGTCTGTCTTAAATCCTCATGGTTTTATCTGTCAACTGGAAGGGTTGAGGGTTTTCTCATTGGCTTCAGAGAAAATGAAACATTTTCTATTTGTTTAGTTGTAAGCAGCAAACAGTGGAAATGAGGAAGGCACCGGCACCATAGGTGCAGCATCCCCCCACCGACACTGCCTGCTTGTGTACTAAATCAGAGAAGGAAAGCAGCAGCACAGGGCAATTCCCATGCTGCAGGTCAGGATGGGACTGGTCCCCATGCCCCCGCACCTGCAGTTTGCCAAAATGGGTGAACCATGGGCTCGTGCTTGGGCAGGAAGAGAAAGGGCTTTGGGCACGAGCACAGCTGCCCTATAGTGGTGGTGGCAGGAAGGATGGCATGGGGTTGCCGCTCTACAGCCCAGACCTCAGCCTGTCAACGGGATGCCAACATCTGCCCAGTCCTATCTGAACATCTGTGCTGGTGAAGACCAGTTCACAGGGGCAGGGCTGTCACCTTTGCTCTGCAGCAGGCAGCGAGACGTCCAAGAGCACGATTTTGTGAAGGGGAATGGGATTTACAGACCTTCTGGCAAGGTGCGTCCATCGGGGAAGGTGATGGGTTTGCTGAGCTGCCGGGACACGCCGGGCACTGGCGGGTAAAGGCGAAGGCTCTCCCTGATGCACATGGTGCTGTAAGTCATCTTGCCCAGGTCCTCCCTGCCGGGACAGAGGCAGGCTGAGCCGCACGCTCCCCTTGCTGCACTGTGCCAGGAGGCCCCTTGCCCCACGGCCATCAGGCCCCTGGGCAGATCCCCTTGCAACAGGTGGGGTGTACGGAGGGACCCACAACGTCCAACCACGGGCTGCTGCAAGCTGGGGACTCCAAGACACCTCTGAACAACTTTGACAACCTCTGAACAAGCTCAAGTGCAAAGTGACAGTGAAAGGTGAAAAGCCGCAACTATAACGTCCTGTGGCAAGAAAACAGGAGAGAGCAAAGGGCACTGCTGATGGCGCAGGTCTTGGCACAGCATCCAGCATGTCCTCCTGGTCTGGGATGGTTTTTTCTCGTGTCTGCCCTGGCAATAGGAGCCCTGAAGCCCTTCAGGGCAGGGAGGCAGATTTATCTGAAAGATGCAGTATCTGCTCCATCCTACGAAGTGTCCGTGCATGCAGCAACCTTACAAATCAGTCCTTCAGCACCCCAGCTTTCAAGCCTTGAAGACATTGCTCACTTAGAAATACTGGTGATGACAAAAGAAGTTACCAGGTGAGGAAATGTGCAACCTTACCACTGAAGCGTCTCCCGGTCCCCCAGGATCCCCTGGATTTCTTCCCGGCACCGTGCCTGGTGCTCAGGGTGTGATGCCAGGCAGTACAAGAGCCAGGAGATCCCGCTGGCCGTCGTATCATGGCCCTCAAACATGAAAGTGTCCACCTCGGCACGCAGGTCCTCATCAGACAATCCAGCTCCGTTCTCATCCTAACAGATCAGAGACACTTTCAGTGTATATATATATATAAAAAAAAAATTTTATTATAGTGGCCCAGATAAATA